AATACCCATTTCTGATTAAAAAAAAAAAAAAACTCTCAGAAAAATAGGAATAGAAGGCAATTTCTCTAACACAATAAAGGACATATATGCAAAAGCAACAGTCAACATTATTCTCAATGGAGAGAGACAAACAGCATTCCCCTTGCAAATGGGAAACAGACAAGGGTGTCCTCTATCACCACTTACATTCAACATTTTATTGACAGGATGAGTCAAGGCATTAAGGCACAAAAGGGAAATAAAATTAAAATTGGCCTTAAAATTGGTAATGAAGAAGTAAATCTATCCCTATTTGCAGTTGATATGATCTTACACCTAGAAAATCCCAGAAACTCAGCAAGAAAACTACTGGAACCAATTGAAAGATTTAGCATAGTGGCAGAATACAAGATCAACATACAAATATCAGCTGGATTCTTCTAATCAGCAAAGAGATTGCTGAAAAGGAAATAAGGAAGTCAATACCATTTACAATAGCTTCCAAAAAAATAAATACTTGGGAATAAATCTCACTAGGGACACAAAAGACCTGTACAAAGAAAACTACAAAAGACTACTTCAAGAAACTATAAGAGATCTACATAAATGGAAGAGCATACCATGCTCGTGGATAGGAAGATTGACACTGCGAAAATTTCAATACTACCAAAAGCAATATGTACATTCAATGCAATCTTGATCCAGATTCCATCAGCATTAAGGACATGGAAAAACCAATCACTAATTTTGTACGGAAAGGAAAGAGACCTCATATAAGCAAAGCACTATTGAAGAAGAAGAACAAAGCAGGAGTTCTTACACTGCCGGATCTCAAAACCTACCATCCAGCCACAGCAGTCAAAACAGTCTGGTAGTATTGGTACAACAGACACATAGACCAGTGGAACAGAATTGAGAACTCAGAAATAGATTCATCCACTTATGGTCAGCTGATATTTGACAGTGTCAAAATCCATTAAATGGGGAAGAGACAGTCTCTTTAACAAATGGTGCTGGCAAAACTGGATATACATTTGCAGAAAAATGGAACAAGATCCACACCTCACACCATACACAAAAATGAACTCCAGATGGATCACAGACTTAAATGTGAAACCTAAAACTATAAAGTTCATCAAAGAAAAAATAGGAGCAAACTTGCTGCTGTTGTTATGTGCTGCCAAGTTAGTGGTCCCAATTTATGGCATAAAAAGACTATCAAGCATAACCCAAAATGCACAAACAGCAGAAGATAATCTAGATACCTGGGACTTTCCAAAAATTAAATTCTTATGTGGCTCAAAAGACTTCTCCAAAGAGTGAAAAGAGAACCTACAGAATGGGAAAAAAAATATTTGGAAATGACATATCTGTCAATGGGCTTATCTCTAAAATTTACAGAAAACTCCAACACCTCAACATTAAAAAGACAAACAATCCAATTTAAAAAATGGCAGAAGACATGAACATACACTTTACCAAAGAACATATTCAGGTGGCCAACAAACACATGAAGAAATGTTCACCATCTTTAGCCATTAGAGAGGTGCAAATCTAAACAAGGAGTTATCATCTCACTCCAGCACTAATAGCAAAGTTCAACAAGATAGAAAATAACAAATGCTGGCGAGGATGGGGAGAGATTGGGACATACACTCTCATACACTGCTGGTGGGACAGTAAAATGATACAACCACTGTGGGAAACATTGTGGCGCTTCCTTAAAAAGCTAGAAATAGAAATACCATTTGATCCAGCAATCCCATTACTAGGTATATATCTTAAACAAGTGAGAATCAGGACACAAATGATACATGCAAACTCATGTTCATTGCTGCACTATTGACAATAGCAAAGAGAATGGAAGCAACCTAAGTGCCCATCAACAGATGAATGGATGACAAAACAACACAAAATTGAATACTATGCAAACACTAAAGTATAATGAAGAATCTGCAAAACACCTCATAACATGGATGGACTTGGAGGACATTATGCTGAATGAAATAAGTGAATCACAGGAGTGATTGAGTCCACTATTACAAAAAGTCAAGGAAAGGTTTACATACAGAAGGAAACTTTCTTTACTGTTTACCAGGGATTGGAGAAGAGGGGAGGGAAAAATGCTAGGCTGGTAAGAGAGAAGTATTGATTTGGGTGAACGTAAAGTCATTATACCAATAGCAAGTGACCAACACAATAACACTGGAAAATGAAGACATGGAAAGGTGCACAAGAGGTACAGATAGCAAAAGCAAATACTTTTACATTCACAGTAGTGCATTATCAGTAATAACAAACATTAATCTATGAGTGGATATGTAGGTAGACAGGCTAATGATCAGGTATGGCTAGGAAAAGGGGAACGCACCAATGCTCATATATAACTTTAAGGAGCACTGATGCTGTAGTGATTAAGGCATTTGGCTGCTAACCAAAAGGTTGGTGGTTTGAATCCATCAGCTACTCTGCAGAAGAAAGATGAGGAAGTCTGCTTCTATAAAGATTTACAGCCTTGAAAACCCAATGGGGGTTGCTATGAGTTGGAAATGACTCATTGGCAGTGAAGAAAATCAAGCACACATGGAAACAATTAGTCCAAGGGACTAGTGGACCATGCAAACCTTAGCCTACATGATTCTAAGACCAGAAGAACTAGATGATGCCTGGCTACCACTGTCAACCATTTGAACAGGGATCAGAATAGGAGATCCTGGATAGAGGGGGAGAAAAATATGGAAACTCTAAATCCTAAAATAGACCAGGTTTACTGGTATGATAATGACTGGTGAACCCATGAGACTATGGCCGCTAGAAACCCTTAGGGCCTGGAACTGAAGTCACTCCTGTGGCTTCCAGCTAAACAACAGGCCTACAAGTTGAACATTTATACCAAGTAGGTGCACTCCTTAGAACAATAAATTATGGGAGAGGGCAGAATTTGAGATAGTTCAAGAATGCATAGGAAAGAAGGACACAGGGAAAAGGTAAGCAAAGAAAAGAAGTGGGAAGACAGCTGTTACACTAAGGGATTGCAAAATCCACTGCCACTGAGTTGATTCCAACTGCAGTATAGTAAATTACATAGTGTGGCTTTTCTAGCCATAAGTCTTTGTAAACTCCATGGTGTAATTTGCTGTGAGCAACTGAGTAGCTCCTGATTGTAAAGTTATCCACTGGGGTATTTCTGTTGGAAACTGCACAAAGTAATTCTCTGCAAAGTTCACTCTCTCCCAGGTGTGTACAGTAAGCTCTGAATTGATGACTTAAAATAATATAAAAATGTGACTAAATTTTATTTACCTTACTCATAATACTTCCTAATCATTTTGCTCCTGTTTAAGATGTTAAACTGTTAAAATAAGACCACAATTTAGCCCCAGGTTGCCCAATACATACCATGAGATATTACCGAGTTTGAATGGAATGAAAGCTTAGTACCTTTATCCTCTTGGCTTTCCAATCCCCTTGGGGAAAGGGGGAACAAAGGATGACAAATACTAAAAGAAAGAGGTTGAAGACAGTTTTTGCCAGAAGTCTTTTAGATTGGTTTACTATTAAGGGTAGTATTAACAAAGGAATGGGTTACCCAGTATTTTAAACACAAAAACATCATATATTTAAAATCCACCCCAAAATGAGTACTTACAGCAGTTTTATATGCTGCTTCAATGTAAAACACAAGGTTCTGTATGAAGTTGACTTCATCTAGGCTGTGAATGATGTGGAGTCCTGAAGAAAAAGGCAATAAGGATATAGAGCTGGTAAATCATCACTGTCAACTTTATATGTAGCCATAGTAACTAACTGACCTCACTACTTCCAAGTACTCCTACTCCTGCTTAGGAACAATGGAGGGCACTTTGATTCCTAAACCATAAAAATAAAACCACAAGTTAATCCTATGGTAGTGTTCAGCTAAGAGAGATACCAGCATATTTTAATGAGGAGGAATTTTAACTGTTATTTCTAGGTTTTAGTACAAAGTCTCAGATTCCTGATTCTATAGTTAACTAATTTATAATGTACAAACCTAGGTACCTGGAAAAAGAAAAACTGATATTTCAAAATAGAGTTGGAGAGAGTCTAAATGTTAAGCAAGAAGTAGATAAAAATTATTTTAATTAGAAAATCATTGGGTTTTTTTGGACTAAAAATGATAGTTATTCTCAATGTAACATATACAAAGACACAGCATATATAGGGAGTGCTTTGAAGGCATTATCTACTTAATTTTTGCAACAATCCTAAGGAGTAGGAACCTCAAATTTCTCCATGAGGCTTGTTGTTATTGTTGTCTGCCATCGAGTCAGCCCTGACTCATAGCGACCCCTCCTTGGGTTGCCGAGGCAGTATCACTACGGAAGTAGATTGCCCAACCTTCCTTCCGAGGAGTGGCTGGTGGGAGGCTTAGAGAGGTTTAATATTTGTCTATTTAAATAGTAGTCATAATAAATAGTAATGACTTAATTGACTGTCAATTTCTGTTTCACTTCAGAGACTGAGGGCCTAAGCAAGAAGTACACTGCATCTTAATATGTATAATACGATCTGTTTCTGTTTAAAAACACTTTCTCTCAACACACATACATACAGAGAGTCAGAAAAAAAGAACTAGAAATATATATACCAAGATTTTAATAGCAGTTATCTCTGGCAGTGGGATTGAAGCAGCTTTATTCTGTTGTATACATTTTTGTAATTTGGAGGATTGTACAATGAATGTATAGTATTTTTAAAATTTAAAAAGTTACATAGGAAAGCAAAGTCATTAAACAAGGCAGAATATGTAATTAAACACTATAAAATTATATACAAAATTCTGAGCAATGAAACTTTTTACAGGTGCAAGCTTTATTAGGAGTCCTTGCTTAGCTGCTAATCGAAAGGATGGAGGTTCAAGTTCACACAGAGGTATCCTGGAAGAAAGGTTTGGTATCTACTTCTGAAAATCAGCCATTGAAAAAACCTATGGAACATAGTTCTATTTTGATACATATGGGGTCCACCATGAGTTGGAGTTGACACAATGGCAACTGGTTTATTGGAAGCTTTATGAAGTAATTAACTTTTAAAACACCTCTTTTGCAACAATAAATATTACTGCGTACATATTATCTAACGCCTTTATTTAGAACACTTGATTCTAAACTGAGAATTCATTTCCATATTGAAAAACTAGAAAGCTTATTTTTCTTTTCCAGCCTATAAACAAGTAGGAGAAAGAAGTGAAGACCAGGCAGCTGCAAAAACATATATGTGGGTTTTGTTGTTGTTGTTATGTGCCGAGTCGGATGCGAGTCATAGCGACCCCTCCTTGGGTTTCCGAGGCAATATCACTACGGAAGTAGATTGCCATATATGGGTTTTAGAAATTGTTTATTTATTTATTTTATATTTTAAGCTTCACACATTTTCATGGCTGAAACTATTTTATTGCAACACCATTTTTATATTCACATTTTTTTAATGAAAATAAGTATGTTGGTTTAATGGAAATTATTACATGTGCTGCTATGTGGTTGTATTATAATGAGTCAAAGCAAAGAATTTCCACTTTGCTAAGAAATGGGCAGAATCTACAGCAAGTAGATCTAGATGTTAAAATTTCTTTAAGAGGGCTTGGGAACGGAAAAAGTTCTCTGACATTCTTAGAAACATCATGTGAAGTGGTTGTCAAATATTTCTTAAGGTCTTTAAAATGAATTCCACCTTAACCCTGCATGACACTCATTACATTCCAGAAACAATTCTTAAAACAAACAAACCACCCTAAATAAGCCTAAAATAAGCCACCCTAAATCACATCATACTCCATCCCTGTTAACTCTCTCCAGAGGAAACCAATGTCACCAGTTTCCTCTGTATTCTTTCAGAGATATATTATGCATTTATAAACATACATGTATCACGCCTCTTTCTCTCTGGTGGCATAGTGCCTTCTGCTAACCAGAAGGCTGGCAGTTCAAACCTATCAGCCACTTCTCAGAAGGAAGACTGGGCAATCTACTTCTGTAGGGATACAGCCTCAGAACTCAAGGAGTCAGAAACGACTCGATGGCAGTGAGGGTTTTTTTTTTTTTTTTTAACGAATTGGATAGTGTGTTGTACTATACCTTGCTTTTTTCATATATAAATTGGAGATAATTTCAAATGTCTTTTTTTTTTTTTTTTTTGTCTTTTTTTTTTTTATAACAGCTATATAACATTCCACTGAATGATTGTTCTTGTAACCAGCTCCTTTTTAAAAGACATTTGTGGTTTTTGTTGTTAGGCACTGTTGAGTCTGCTCCAACTCTTAGTGACCCTATGTACAACAGCATGAAACAATGCATGGGTCCGGCACCATTCTCATAATACTTGCTATGCTTGAGTCCATCATTGCAGCCATCTCATTGAGGGTCTTCCCTTTTTTGCTGACCCTCTACTTTACCAAGCATGACAAGCTTCTCCAGGTAATTATCCCTTCTGACATGATCAAAGTAGGTGAGGGAAAGTCTGGCCATTTTTGCTACCAAGCATTCTGGCTGCACTCCTCCAGGACAGGCTCGGTCATTATTCTGGCAGTGCATGGTATTTTCAGTATTCTATTCCAACACCACAATTCAAAAGCAGTAACTCTTCTTCGGGCTTCCTTATTTATTGTCCAGCTTGTCAAAGCATATGAGGCCAATGAAAATACCATGGCTTAGGTTAGGCACACCTTAGTCTTCAAAGTGATATCTTTGCTTCTTAACACTTTAAAGAGGTCTTTTGCAGCTGATTTTCCCAGTCAATATGGTGTCTGATTTCCTGACTGCTGCTTCCATGGATGTTGACTGTGGATCCTAATAAAATGAAATCTCTGACAACTTCAATCTTTTCTCCATTTATCATGTTGTTGTTATTGGTCCTGTTGTGAGGAATTTTTTTTTTTTATGTTGACATGTAATCCATACTGAAGACTGTAGTGTTGGATCTTCATCAGTAAGTGCTTCAAGTCATCTTCACTTTCAGCAAGCAAGGTTGTGTCATCTGCATATGGCAGGTTGTTAATGGTTCTTCCTCCAATCCTGATGCCACGTTCTTCTTCATATGGTCCAGCTGCTCACATTATTTGCTCAGCCTACAGATTGAATAAGTATGATGAAAAGATAACACCCTGACATACACCCTTCCTGATTTTAAACCATTCAGTATCCCCTTGTTCTGTTCCAATGACAGCCTCTCCGTCTACGTTCAAGTTCCTCATGAGAAAAATTAAGTGTTATGAAATTCCCATTCTTCACAATGCTACTCATATTTTTTTTTTTATTATCCACACAGTCAAATGCCTTTGCATTGTCAATAAAACAGAGGTAACTATCTCTCTGGTATTCTTTGTTTTAAGCTAAAGATCCATCCGACATCAGCAATGATATCCCTCTTTCCAAGTCCTCTCTGAATCTTGCTAGCATTTCTTGAAGTTCCCTTTCAATACACTGCCACAACCATTTTTGAATTATCTTCAGCAAGATTTTATTTGTGTGTAATATTAATGATGTTGTTTGATAATTCCCACATTCTGTTGGATCATCTTTCTTTGGAACAGGTACAAAAATGGACCTCTTCTAGTCAGGTAACTATCTTCCAAATTTCTTGGCATAAATGAGTACATGCCTCTAGAGCTGCATCCATTTGTTGAAACACCTCAGTGGGTATTATGTTAATTCCTGGAGCCTTGTTTTTCACCATTTTTTTCAGTGCAGCTTTGACTTCTTCCTATTCAATACCATTGGTTCTTGATCATACCTCCTGAAGTAGCTGGACCGAGACTCATTCTTTTTGATAAAGTGACTCTGTGTATTCCTTCCATCTTTTTTTGATGCTTCCTGCATCATTCATTATTTTGCCCATAAAACTCAAAACTCACTGCCGTCAAGTCGGATCCTACTCATAGTGACCCCTCCTTGGGTTTCCAAGGTGGTAATACTACAGAAGTAGATTGCCCAACCTTCCTTCCGAGGAGTTGCTGGTGGATTTGAACCGCCAGCCTTCTGGTTAGCAGTCAAATGCTTTAGGCACTAGATTCCTTCAATACTGCAACTTGAAGCTTGAATTTTCAGCTTCAGTTCTTTTCAGCTTGAGAAAGGCTTAGCATGTTGTTGCCTTTTGTTTTTCTAACTCCAGGTCCTTGCATATTTCATTATAATACTTTACTTTGTCTTCTTGAGCCACCCTTTGAAATCCTCTGTTCAGCTCTTTTATTTTATCAGTTCTTCCATTCACTTTAGCTACTTTACATTCAAGAGCAAGTTTCAGATTTTCTTACAACATCCATTTTGCTCTTTTCTTCATTTCTTGTCTTTTTAATGACCTTTTGTTTCTTCATGTATGATGTTCCTGAAGTCATCCCACAACTTGTGTGGTCTTCGGTCACTGGTGTTCAATGTGCCAAACCTATTCTTCACATGGTCTCTAAATTCAGGTGAGATATAATCAAGGTCATATTTTGGCTCTTGTGGACTTATTTGAACTTTCTTTAGCTTCAATTTGAACTTGCATATGAGCAAATGATGGTCTGTTCCACAGTTAATTCCTGACCTTGTTTTGACTGATGATATTGAGCTTCTCCATCACCTCTTTGCACAGATGTAGTCAATTTGTTTCCTCTGTATTTCATCTGGCAAGGTCCACATGTATAGCCGCCATGGTATATGTTGTTGAAAGAAAGGTATTTGCAATGAATAAGTCATTGGCCTTGCAAAATTGTA